TTTTTTTTTTTTTTTGTTATTCCATCTTTTGTAGGCTTTTAATACCACTATTTACAGCGGGTTCGGTTATATCGAATTCAGCAGTGCTGCGTCAGCTGCAGAAGCGATTGCTGGTATGAACATGTTTGATTTAGGAGGACAGTATTTGCGTGTTGGAAAATGTATAACACCACCGGACGCCCTTACTTATATAGTACCTACATCGGCAATTAACCTTCCTACTGCGGCAGCAGTTGCAGCTGCTGAAGTTACTGCCAAAATACAAGCAGAAGAAATGACAGCAGCTGCAAAGTCACCGCTACATAGTTCACCTTCTGTCCCAAAGGTAGTTTTGTCAACTGATAACTGATTCCCCGTTTTTTATGTTTGTATTGATTTTTATACAAGAAACTGACTTATCTGTTCTTGTAAGGGACTTTCTGCCGTATCCTCAGTACCGGGAGTTGGGCTACCTCAGTCACTCCCTCAGGCTTTACAAATACCCCCAGTGGGTATAGCGACGGTTCCTTCAGTTGGTATAGCTTCGGTGTCACCAGTCCTGACGCCTCGGCCAGCTCCTCTCACTTCAGTCTCCGCAACCCCTTCTCCGCCGAATGTTACTGTTTATCCGAGCACACCTCCACAGGTCACTAAATTTTTCTTGTGGGATTTATTTTCATATTTCATGTTGAAAGTTGTGTAGTTGCTAGTTGGTTTCGCGCAGTGGAATATTATAGGTGTCGTTCGATCTCTTTGCAGTATATATTTCAGCGCTGTAAATATCAGAAACTGATATGCTTTTTTTAAAGAGGCTGCTATGTTTTTTTCCTTGTCATATATTACCATTTCGATCAATTTTTTGTATATTTTTAGCCTCCAATCCCTAGTGGCACTCCGCCGCCTTCATCATCCGTTTCGGCAGTGCCGCCTCCACCATCGACTAATACAGGGTCTAGCGGACGTCGAGGTTTCGGTGGTTTCGTTGCCCAAGCACCACCTGTACAAATTCTCGATATACCTCCTCCTCGCGTTGTCACTCCTCCCGTTCACTCGGTCGGTACAATTCCTACTCCACCACCACCTGTAAGTCCTTCTGGTTCACACTGTTTTTTTCTATGTTTCGAAATGTTTACTCATGGACATTCTTTTATGGGACCTCTGCAATTTTAGACTTCTGCCTCTGTTCCCCCAGCGCCAGTGAGTTCACTCACAGATGCTATTATTTCCCGAATAAATGTGACGCCTAAAAAGCCTCCTACTAATGAACCTGCAAAGTTTGCACCGCTTCCTGCAAATATTGCTCCTGTCGACCGAAAAGTGTACGCAACTTTCAAAAATTTTGCGTTACAGAAGTTACAGGGCCACCAGTTTTTAAATTTTCTGTTGTTACCATTTTTTAGTCATGTTTGTTAACATTTATTTTACTCGTTCGTTATATTTTTTGGCTTTGGAAGCAGTTTCTCCCGGCTGCATTATTATCTTTTTTTTTTATTTAATGAAAGTGATTGCTGAGCAAGTTTTTAAAGGAAGATTGGTTTTAGAAGTGATCTCAGTTTTAATTGTGCTTTAGTTCGGAGCCCACTGCTTCAACTTCTGGCCAGTTTGCTATCACACCTAGTTCACCAACGCATAGCGATTCTATGGCACTCGTTGCGGCAGACACATTAGACGCAATGAAAGGAGCTGTTCAGAAGTCTTCAAGCAACAAAGAGAAGGCCAAGTCTGATGAAAAAACTCTTTATAAGAAGAAGAAAGTGAAGAAAACAGTTCCAAAGGGACCCAAGGGACCACAGGTTAGCTACATGAGGCGGGAAGAGAATTAGCAGACGTTCAATTAAAATTCAAGCTTATTAAAAACAGTTAGGAAGGGATGTTATTTATTTTGTGTGTTTCAGCTAAATACGCCTCAAGCTTTGGAAGCTGCCAATCGAGCTGGTGAATTAAACGATCAAATGATGGCGCAGACTCAGAACTCAGATGATGTTTCGTTGGCGTCCCAAGAAGGCCTAGAGATAAGAGGTTTTTTTTATTGGGCGCTACGCTTTTATCTGTTTGATTCAGCGGGAACTTTGACCTGTGTTGTTTTAATTAACGTTTTAGAAATGTTCTTTGTAAAAAGATTGCTTCATTGCGTTTGAATTTGACGTTTTAAAAAGCATATTCAGGCAATGAGGCCCGGCATTTGTTAATGCATAAATTAATGAAAACAAACCGATCTACTGTAGTAATTCTGAAAAACATGGTAACCATCGAAGAATGCGATGACGAATTGGAAGTAGAAATAAGAGAGGAGTGTACAAAATATGGAAAAGTTGAGGAGGTAAATTTGCAATTTCGTTTTTTGCATCGTCTTAAAGATTCGAATTCTGCGTATATGTGACTTTCATTTTTTTGTGTTTTTGTAGGTTATCATTGCGCAGGACCCGGCCAATAGTTCTGTAAAGATATTTGTCCGATTCGGTGACTCGCAGGAAGCAGATAAAGCCAAACAAGCCTTGGATAAGCGATTTTTTGCTGGTCGTGAAATAACAGCCCAAATTTACGACCAGGTTTTGTTTGATCATCAGGATTACTCGGGATGAATGAGGGGTTTTCCAACGATTGTCAAGAAGTCATTGTTGTTGTCTTGTTGGATTGTGTTTGTATTTGGTTGAAGTTTTTTCCACCCTCTAGGTTACTCCGGTTGAATAGGTGCGCAGGTTCTCATTTTGTTCTTTGTGTCAGGTTTTTGTAATTTGTTTTTCTTTTTTTTTGCATTGTGAACAGTGCGGGTCAAATTTGATGAAACAACATCTGTTTTGCACGGATTTTATGTTTACCAAGTAGTCTTCAAAATTACACGAAAATGTTTGGTACCCACGTGAACCGATGTCTTTCAATATGACTTTTCTATGTTACAAGAGGTAACCGCTCTTTGTAGTAATTGTTGTCTGTTTGTTGTTGAAGATTTTTTTTGCGTAGTAGTCTTTGATGTATTCAAGGATATTTCTATAATGACATAACGGTTGAATAGGTACACTCCACAAGTGTTTTGTTCATCTCATTTTTTTAAGGAGTTTATCAGTTTATGGGGAGCGGAAAAAGTGGGTGTTGGTAATAGAATTTGACGACACAGGTTTCAGGAGAGTTGCGGAGGTTGAAAACTGCGTTGATTTGAAGTGGCCTTCTGTTTTTTATTTTTATTTTTTTGGTTTTCTGCTGCTTTTTGTTTTTATCTCCATTTTGAACTGAGATGCATATTTGAAAATGTTATTAACTGTGGTATTTGGTGACTAAGACGTTGGTCATTTCGGGCGACAGTTACATTCCGTCGGTGCCTGACAGATGGTGTTCGCGTAGTGTTGTTGTGTATGTTTTTTTGATCTGTGGGAATACAGAAGTATATCAGTTCAGATTGGCCGTGTGCTTTTTGCACGTGTTAACATTCAGCAGCTTTTTCGGTTGTATTTGTTTTTGAAGTTTACACACGTTTAGTCGCAATATGTGTTACTGCAGGTTTAGTGGTGTTATTTAGCTTGTTCTGGGTGTTGTTGTAGGTTCAGTGAGGTTTTTTGGTAATAGGTGGTGGCAATAAGCCAGTGGCTTGATGTTTGTCCTACATAGTCAATATTCCATCCATTTGTAGGGATAAACAGTGATCTTCCAAGAAGAGGATAATGTACAGTGACTTCCTCAGAAATGATTTTTTATTCAAACCGGATTCAGTAGAGGTTGGTCTTATGGACTTACTTCTTGTTTTGGTAGAGGTGTGTTTTTTGTAGATCTTATATCTGTTCAGTGATATACTCTCTTAGGGGTTGGGTGGGTGATGGCGCTGTTACTTTTTTGTTTTTAGAGACCGGTGAATGTAGTAGAGCTGCAGCTTGTGTTTTTTTTTTTTCTTTTTTTGCTGAGTATTCTATGTCGCGATTTTTTCTTTTGTGGATGTTTGTTACATTTATGGTCTCTCAAAAGCGGCGTCCATTTGCAGTTTTGTTGGTATTCAGCAGTTGTATAACGTGCCACAAGGGCTTTTTATGGTGTGATGTTTAAGAGGCTGTGGTGGCAGAAATGTTGCGGTTGGCAGGTTCTTGCGGTTCCTCCACAACTGCTGAACATCGTTTTGCAAGCCCAATGAGGCGTGTGTCTTGGTCATTGACTAGAAGAACTCCATCTCTTGCTAAAGGCGTCGCATGCGCGTCGTTAAAATGACAAAGTCTAGTTTTGAAGTTCATGAGGATGTTGTTGAATTCTTTTTGATGTGTAGACAGAAAAATGGTGTTTTTCAAGTCATAGTGCGTGAAATGTTGTTTGAATATCGGTAGTAGTTAAGATGAAAGGGGGAACTGTCATGATTGTTGGATGGGCAAGGGTTTAAAGGCTGTGAAAGTCTGGAGGAGCGGCATGGATTAACGACTGCTGCAATTGAATTCACTTTGTGTGGTCGTAAAAAACTAAAAATAAAAAGCCTTAAAGATCTCGCATCCCGTTGGGGTTGTTGATTACTGAATTGATTCGGTTGAAAGATTGATAGGGTAACATTGCGATAGCTTGCTAGGTTTGGTTGAAGTGGAGTTTGTTAGTCATTTTTATGGCAACAACAGTTGATTTTGGAAGGAAAGTTGGCAGCTTTGCTGGAAGCAAAGTTAGTGACTCAATGTATGGTTGGCGATTAAAACTATACGAAACCAACTCTCAGCAACAGGGCGTGGTGGACAATTGGCATTCACTTTTTTGATTTTCAATGTGGCTAATATTTCCATCTTTTAGGGTACGGTATTTTTGAAAAAAAGAAAAAAGTAATTTGGGAACGTTCTTTGTTCTAGCATTTCGCTAAGGGGATTTATAATCTATAAGTCTTGCTCGGACTGTTAAAGTTTCGTCGGGTTCTTTTATTGTCTCTTTTATTTGTAATATCTGAGTAGGCGAGAGAAACTGAACATTCTGCTGCTATTGACCCGGCGACAACAGTTTTCGGGTAGAATCTTGTTTATTTTTTTGCTCATGGTTTTATTATCAAAAATGCCGCTTCATATGTTGCTCTACGAAAATGTTGGTTTTCAAGAAGGATTAGTTGAAGGTCTTTATCGGTCTTCTGAATCGAAATATTGTGGTGAATTATCGGTTATAATTGTTTTTCACAGGCAAAAATAAATTTAGAAAAAAAAAAAAAAGGTATATGTGTATATATTTGATTGGTCGCATTCCTAATCGCTTCTTACTAGCTAAACTGCTTGTGGATATTTGGATGTAACAAGACAAGAGAAGGATCTTTTCGCTTTATATGATCACGGTTTTAAGTGGCGAGGAAATGTGAACTTATAATAGTGAGTGGGGATGGTCTGTTGCGCTGAGAGAAGGAGGAATGAGAGGTGGTATTCGTGCTTGTATTTAGTGGTCTTACTTTTTCTGCTCCTTTTATGTTACTGATTTCTTTATTATTTAGTCAGACAATTTGCTGTTAATGTGGTGATGGTACATCGGATTCACGGGAGTGTTTGGAAGTTGCTCGCGAGAGGACGGGTGTAAAATATAATTTAATACCACATTTTTTAGGTTTAGTTCATTAAACTTCCAATTTTTGATGGCCTCAAGTTTGGAAATATGTGTGTTTTGCGATATTATCGAGAAAAAACCCGACTTACACCTAAAATTGAGCGAGAATGTGAGTCTTATTTCTTGTACTTCCGTTTTTTGTTCTTTTATTTTCTTTGATCTGACAGTAGTGTTTCCAAGCTTTATCATTTTTTATGAAAATAAGGTCTTGATTCTGCTATTGGTCATCTAACTGAATCATCGAACGCTTACATTTTTATTTATTGATACTTTTCTACAATCCGTTTAGCTAATTTGACGAGTAACGTTTTTTGATTACAAGCTTCTGTTAATCAAAAGGAGCAATGACAAAAGTTACGAAAACGGTTTTGAAGTCAACTTCGACTATTCATCGCATATTTTTTGTTATTATTATTTTTTTAATTTTTTGGCACTTTTTGTAGTGAAAACTTTTTTACACGTAGAATTACATGTTTGCTCTTGTCATAATTTGAAAATTGATTTGAATCGGGAAAACTTATGAAGTGTAAATAATTTAGAAGTGATAATAGTAGCAGTGACGTTTACGCCAGATTTCCAGAATAAAGCTCGATAAGTCACCTAATATTAACATTTGTCATTACTAATTTTATTATTAGGTTTTGTAAGAATCATTCTTTCTTTTACACTCTACTTCTCGTGACTATTATGTCTCGCGAAGTTGTTTCTGAATTGAACTTTCAGAACAGTGTTAATCTACTTGTATAATTTCACTAATAGATTTCTCTTTTTTTTCGATTTATTAGGGAGCACTAGTTGCGTAGCACTTTTTTTGTAAGTTTCTGACTTATAAAGACTTTGCTGCTGAAATGAAAGTCTATTTTATGTAAGGAGAAGTGTCAATTTGTATGAAATTTTAAGTAGTGAACTGAATTGACAGATTGGTACGTTAATCTTTCCTCAAATGTTATGCTTTGTTTAAGTACAGAGAATTACGTTTACGAGCAGGATTTGTAATGGAGTATTTTGACTCTTTGCGACCAATGTAGCATTACTTTTTTGAACTGCTTGTTTAAATTCAGATTTTTTCTTCTGTGAATGTAATGTAAAAAAAATATCTTGGATATTTTTACAGTTTTTTCGTTCCTTATATACCAAACCTTGTCTTTTTTATGCGAGTGATTCTGAAATTTGATGACTTCACCATTGATTGCTGTCACCGATTTTAATCAAACATTTTTACTTGGGCGGTTAGACCGCCGTATACCACTTTTTTTTTCAGTTCACTAGCGCCTGCGCTTAAAAATTTTTATTTCTAGTCCGTTGTGGTCGCTGACAGATCTCCTCACGCTCCATATCACTTTCTCGTTTTGAGCAAGCGGCACATAGATAAGTCAGCCGATTTAACTGTTCAGGATATTCCCCTTGGTAGGCATTAGTCGCATTCCTATTCCCCACTTTTAAAGCAGTTATGCGCTACATTTTCTCTACTTCATGAAAAGAAATGAAGGTTCATTGTTTTTTCCCTGGAATTTTTTTCAGGTAGTAGTGTGAAAACAGCGAAGTTTTTGTAGGTTAGCTTGAAACTTTGCTAAAGTCCTTGATTTTCATTGTTTTGACGACCTTTCACTGCCACAGTTTTATTTTGTGTTTTCAATTATTCTTCTTAAATTTCTTTATCGTTTTGTATAGGAGAGGTCAGTCTAAAATTTGTATTTAGTGAAGGAAATGGAGAAGGCTGGAAGAGAACACTTACGTGAGGTTCTCAAGAAAAACGGCGATGCAGATATTGTTGAGGCCATATTACGAACGGGATTTCATAAACCACCATTTCTTACTGTTCATCATTTGCACATGCACATTCTTTATCCCGTATCTGGGGTTAGTTTTGTTCACATTTTAAAGTACTGTACTGATGCTGAGCTATGTTTTGGACTATTAGTTATGCTCGATGTACTTTCTCGGTTTTTTTTCTTTTTTTTATCAGCCTTTTGCAGCTGAAAGTAACATTTAGAGTTTACTTGTCAAAATTTTTTTCTATAATTATTTTGGTCAATTTTTTGTGTTCAATGTATTGTTTATTCCTTCTTTCACTTTTCGAAGGATTTCATGGTAGTT